TCCTGAGGTATCCGATGCTTCGCCGTCTTCATCGTTCGCATCCGAAGAAGTTGACGCATCCAATTTACCAATACAAACTACATTCGATGCACGCAAGCGTTCTACCAAAGTCGTGTAAGCAGGGTCGTTAATGACATCAGGCTGATCTTAGTTGGATTCACTCATGTACAATGCCGTATTAGCTTCTATATATCTCCCTCCTACTGTTTTGATGCCCCCCTGTAGACCATTTCACGTCGTATCTGAGCTGATGGAACGCCCTGCGGACATTCTGGACAACACCAACCTTCCCCCTAAGCTTCTACGACTTGCTGCGAACCCCAGTTCCGGCTTGCAATCCAGCTGAAAACTAAGTATGTACTTGTAGGGCCCTTCGGTATGGATTGTGCTAAGTTTTGATCTCAAATGAGGCTTGCGTTGCTGAGAATCTATGGTTAAAAAAATCGGTACGCTGGTGAGCATACATGTATGCTCAGTGGATTAAAAGATTAACAAATTTGTTGACTCTGCTTACTGCAATCCCGGGAAACGGATACTACAGTATGCGCACTAAGTCTATGAGCTAGCTGAAATTACCCCTCTGAAAAGCCTGCAACGCGTGTGGCTTAGAAGAATAACTTGATCACCTCGTCCTCTGAGGAGAAAGTTGCGGAGATGACAGATGCTGGAAAGAGCAGTGCCATGCGCTGTGACAACTGGGCGAAGCGTGAGGCGCTGTACGAAGTAATGTTGGTTAGCTACAAGACAATGCGTGAGTTGGAGACGGCGGAAATGAGATTGCTGTACGAAAAGGGTAACGTGGCGCTAAATAGCTTAAAATCGGTTTTGCAGGTGGCGTTGGCTGGTGTGCATGCCGTCATATCAAGATTTCCCGGTCTATTGTCCGCTGCGGAGGCAGATGCTCTCTGATCCAGAGTCTTTGCCGGATCTTGAAACACAGCAGGTTAAAGCGGCTGGTCACACGGGACACAAGGGTTGTAGTTTTGGAAGGCAAATAGGAGTGCAAAAGTGCGTGATGGCCGTCCAGGCCAGCAAACTAGGTGCTTTGCTGAAGGGGATGTGGGGAAAGGAATGTGTATAGGAGTTCCGACCGAGTCAGTAGCACAATACCGCTAATAAAAAAACATAGAGCTCTGGTCGAGCTATACTGTAGCAGCTTGTGAAGCGAAGTGTTATAAACGTTTTTAGATAGAACGAAGAAGCAAATAAGCTCATGTTGAAATATGACAAATGTTTGTAGTCGCTTTTATCTTCTCTCTAAGTATTGTGGTTTTCATCAATTTTGCCGCCCGATTTGCTGTGTTATCTCGGGGCCCGATTTAAATAAATTGGGCAGGGTGTAGGGTAATTAGGCTCGAATTAGCTATATGTGACCCTACTTAAGGTCTTAATGATATGGGTGACGTCATCTCCAGACGACCTTACCGCCCACAACTCAGTTTTACTTATTGAGGAAGAGATAAACACTAAACGTATGCATACTGTAGCGCGATTGCCGAGTAAAAGGGTGCTATAATTCCCCTATGGCGGTTAGACTGGAAGTGTTCTAGCGAATGAGTTTGGGCAGATCACTTATGCCTTCCAAAGACGGCAATTCTGGCACTTCCCCTTTAATTCGAAGTTCCCATCGACATATCCGGCCCGAGATAGCAATCTTACCTTACCCCTACTTTCTATTTCGACGGCGTTCAGCAAATCGGATCCGATATAGTGGATCTCGGATCATCCGCTTTGCCAAAATGGATGAAAACCACAATACTTCCTCCGTCCGGTAATATAATGCATGGGTTAGAAGAAGAAAACAAAAACGTTTTAGCGTCAAAATCGCATTTTATTGATGTATGATTGGTCTAAAAGTTGCGTTAAACATTGGCGGCCCTTCTGGCGGTTTTCGCGCGCATTTTGAATGAGTGGTTGACGAGCTGTGGTAGTCCCAATACGGCGTCATTCCTCATTTTGGCTTTTATTCTTCGCAGCAAGCCCAGATGAGCCGACAGCGCACGTTGTAAAAGGAAGAACCTCACGTCGGAAGAGCGTGCTGAAGTCGTGGCAGCTTATCTGCGCTCGAGCGTGAAGTTGCAGCCGCCCAAAGAAGAGGTCGTGGCCTGTGCAGTCCGTTCTGACTACTTCGGTATACTTAAATTTACTCTGCATTACTACTTTCTCTCGGGGGTACTTAGATGTCACACAGCATGCCTGAAATTCATGCTAAGTGACAATCAGAGAATTGTTTGAGCTCGTTTTGCCTCTGGATTTGTCCAGAAGACGGGGAGAGATGGGCTGCAGTTCGACAATATGATGGAGTATGTGCACCTGGATGAAACGTGGCTCTACCTAGCTAAGGTGAAGCAACGCTTCTATTTGGTTGAGCTCGAGGAGGATCCCCATTTGCCGGTCAAGAACAAAAAAATATTGTTTAGGTGATGCTTCTCGCTGCTGTGACTCGCCCACGTTGGGATCTAAGGCGGCATAAAGTGTGGGATGAGAAAATTGGCGTGTGGCCATTTGCTATCTTCTAGCATCGACCTCGGAATTGAAGACATACGCAGTGGATGGTGACATCTATCGCCAGTGGCTTTGCCGATCGGTCATTCCCTGCATTAAGGGCCTTTGGCCTTCGGGCAAACGAGTCATCTTGCAGCACGGCAACGCAAACCCCCATGTGGCTGCGGATGATCCTGTTGTGATAGCGGCATGCGCGGAGGGCGGGTGGGGGATGCGCCTTCAGCCACAACCTGCTAATTCACCGGATTTTAATGCCCTCGACCTCAGTTTTTTTACTCCATACAGTCGCTCCAGCACAAGGAGAAGGCTAAAACTATCGAAGACCTGGTCAGCAATATCGCCGAAGCCATCAAGCAGCTTCATTACAGCGTTCTAGATAGCATTTTCGTTTCCCTAAATTCTGTGCTGATGGCTTCTATGGACGTTGACGGAGGCAACAAGTACTCTTTCGAAAGCCGCTATGACGGGTAGCCGTGGAAGGCAATAAATATGCTAAGTTCGGGTGATACGAACCGAGCTTAGACCTATATCTTTGGACAATGTTATGTGTGGCGCTGGTCTTATATTTTCGGACGGAGGAAGTATGTTTTACCATGCGTCCCCTAGCCATGATCGAACGACACTTTTTTTCACATTGGCAAAGACGCTGCTCGAGCTTCGTTATTTAACTTCTTCCCATACGACCACATATTCCTTAATTATGTCGAAGCCAATCAGACACCTCTAGTTGCCCGCATGCGACCGCATGACCCGATTGATAATGAGTCCAACACGAGGTAGCCATGTGCTCGCAATAGCATGGGTCACATGCTTTGCAAAAGGAAGGTTCTTACTTCCAGATTACATTCAACAACATCTTCAAGCAATCTGCTATCGCTTCCAACATCGTTAGGGTTCCACTAAAATCTTAAGGAACTGGATTTCGTGTTTTCAAAAATATTTGTTTCCCTGCAAGAGAAAATTGGATATTACCACTGCTACTATACCCATGAAACGTATTTAACGCTATGTGCAAAAATGTGGCTGAAACCTGCGTGGAATAGTACGAAACTACTTCTGATGGGTGGAGGTAGCGCAAATTTCGTAACTTTTTCCTCGCAAAAGATGCCTACGACAATACGTTCTTCTAGGGAACTAAGTAATACAGTTATTGTTTGTTTAGCGATTCCACTTTTTTTCAATTATACATTGCAAAAACTCTTTGAAGTTTTTCTTAGAGCTAGTAAAAGGTTGCTTTCAGCTATTCCTGTAAAAAAAATGGTTTTCGGAACTCGAGATTCTTGCCCGGACAAGTAAATATAAAATTGAGCTGGTTTCACTGAAAAACGTAATACGTTACTGTAATCTTGTCGGAGCCAAAAATAAGTATTGCAATTATTTCGAGTATTGCTAGGTTAGGGATCAAGCTACTCCGAACAACCCTACCAATCCGCTACACACCACTGCCATTATTAATAACACGCTCTGGTGGTGGTAGGGGGGGGGGGTCCTTTCGCCAATCGAAATGAGCCGGCAACGGCACAAGACAGTAATTTGGGTTTCGTACAGGAGAGTACGTGACCTCCTATTAACTTTATTCGACCCGAAATCTGTTATATTTATTAGTAATATAAAAGGTTTAGCAGGTTATGGACCTACCCCGGGCTGCAAATTGTGCTTAATCGCAGTAGAGTGGTAGTTGCTCTCGTATGAACTAGTCATTTATGACGTATCCGGACATGTAAAAGTATGGTACCTAAAAATGGGTACGGTTTACGGTAAAGTTTACGGTCAGCTTACGAGACGGAATTTAGTGACTAAACAAGATCACGGGACGGAGTTTAGTGCCTACTAGTAATTGTTCGAATCTGCTTTGATTAAAAAGACAGAAAGGTTTCCGTAAAATTTAGAATTCTCCCTGTAATTTTTTGGCCTTTTTTTAAGGTAAAAAGTGGCAGCAGCAAGCTTGTGGTCGACCACAAATGATGTTTTAGATTGAGAAAGCTTTTGTGGCAAAAATGAAAAATGACTGTTGTTAACTAGAGCTTCTAGGACCTCTACATTCACTCCTTGATCTTGTTTTGTTCAACAACTCATGGTCGAGTCGTGTAATGGCAACCAATCCATTTTTTACTCCTTTTGTTTTGTGTCAAATTCTTTTCTAGTTGAGGCGCGCAAACGAGCGAAATCACTGGGCAATGGGCATCTTGCTGCGCACGCAAATTGTACTTACTGCATGCAGATATCGCCACGCGCGATCTGGACCAAAGGAAACTTGAGACTTGCACCTACACTCGCTGAGCTGATTATGGAGTGGCTACGACTATCAAAGCGAAACATTGTATCGGTGGGAACCAAGCTCTCTCTATTCGACGACGTTGTCTTAGAACTCGAGAGGACGAATGAAAGCGCTACCGATTGACGCCTGATCACAAGCAATGACGATGCCTGGTTACCTTTTCGTCGGACGTATTGTAATTAGCCCATGGGAAACGTCGTGTGGTGGCCAGTTGCTCTCACACAGCGACAGCAAAAGTATTCACCCAGGCGGGGTTTTTAACCTTATAGGCTGCGGCATACTTATACCATAGATTGAACTCGGGGGAGGGGTCCAGGCCGACATTCCGATTGCCATTGCGGCCGAGTTTGAGTCTCTTGTATACAATGTTAGGATCGACACCTTGTTTCAAAAGTTTCTGCACTTCCGTGTCCAAGTCCATCTTTGCTGCGTAGAACCTCAGCTTTGTCGATAGCTTCTTGTCGCCAAACCATTTTGACACGCGTGAACCAAAGTTTTTAAACACACTCGGTATCACGGCTCTCTCTTCGTCAACGGAGCCATTGGCTTGATTGCTCGTCGTTTGTGCTTGCAGCAGTTTTCTGCTTCTCGGCTCCACGCCGGCAGCATCGATCGATTGAGCGAAGTCTTGTGATTTCTGCGGACTGACTGCTGCAGCAGTGCTGCTGCTGATCAGGACAGCAACAGCGAGGATAACTACGAAGTATGAGCGCATAATTTCTACCACGTCGGTGTAGCTCGCTGGAGAGAGAGTGTTATGCTTGGTTTGCAGATTGTGTTGCTGACAATTTGTGATTGTTGCCACGAGTTCGGAGATAGAAAAATGAACGCAGAAGCACTGCAGAGGATCGGTTGGGTTTGCGCATCATTGAAGAGATAATCGCCGTTTTATGATACTGAATCTGACCAATCATAAGTGGCCAAACCGAATATTTCTATGCCATCACTGTGAGGAAAGGGGGGGGAGAAGTAAAATACTTACTAAAATCCACACCCGCTGCAGGAAAAGCGCTGGAACACAACGTATTACGAAGTCCGTAAACAAACGAACCAACGCTCGTGGCGGCAACATACGGATGATTTGCGCAAAACAATGCTGCAAGTTTTAAAAAGTGCGGGTTCAAAAGTTAAGCTAAATAGGATACCGGTGTAACAGGCATCCGTATGGACATACCGCATCGCACCTGTCCTAAGCGAACGCCCATGTTCGACGTTTACGGGGTAAGATTACTAGCAAATCTCACAGCTAGTGCTAAAAAGTAAACGTTTCCTCAAGCTCGTCCGGTTGAATGTTACGCTCGTGAATGACCTGCCTCCATTAATTTTTAAAGTGGTCCGCTGATGAGAGCTGTTAATAACATTTCGGTCGAACAGCTCTCTAGCTATTTGTATGCCGTCGCTCTTCCTATTGCCTCTTTATTAACCCTAATCAGACTGCTGCCTATAATTAGCTCACGGAAGGACACATTAACCTGCAGCCATCTGTTTATATTCATTTGCTATACAAAACTTCGCTTAGGACAGGGGCGATGCGGTACGAGCCTCACGGATGGGACCAATCATCAATCGAGTTTGCGGGTCATTGACAACGCTTTTAGGGGCGACACCCCTTCTTGTCCCCCACCGGAACGTTGTGTCACACAACGTTCCGGTACAACTTGTGTGGCATGGTCTTGGGATCCACAAATCCCGTCTTCACAATGTTGCGCCGGCTAGTAAAAATATATGTGTTGACCACACCATAGAGCATTCATGTCGGGTTAAAGGTCCTGCGGAGTCTCGAAATTGTATTAATCCCTTCTCAGTTTGTTGGCGGATAAAAGACTGACCCTTACTGAAAGAAGTTTCCTTTGAGAAAGTAGGCGAGATGGGACCCACGATTATGTTTATGATAATTTAATACATTGTAAATGACATTTTCCTTCTCTCACAAAATAGTACTGTTCATTTTGTTTTGTTGCGCTCCGCAATTCAAGTAAGGTTACCGGACATGGACCGAACTTTTATTAATAAAGTTCTTAAAAGTACTGTTCTTTGGATTTATATCCAGAGTTTTAGGAGGCGAGTCTTCTGACCCAAGACTACTCTAACTTCTAATACTAAGATCCCAAACTAACGTTTTCAAAACAAAAATTAAATAAATTTACTTCAGCACTGGATATGCCTGTTATATAAGATCTACGTTGGATTGTCGTACCCAAAAATAGCGTGTTTTCTTCTCTAAATGTGCATAACATGTCCTTTCGGATAGGAGAACGCGTCAATTTCACACTACACTACGTTTCGGCACCTTAGATCTGCGGCAGCACCTCAAAAGTTGGGGAACACAACACGTTACGGTAGCAGCACAATTAAAAGTGGCGTCTATGAAATCTGTGGCCGTTCTGTGGCTGTGCATCGAGTTGAAGGCAGAGGATAGGAAGAAGCCAATGAGATCGTGGCATGGGGAGGCGTCATGAGCGTGACACAGCGTGCGTAGGCAGAAAGTGTGTGGACCACTAGTCAATGGGGGCCTTCCAGAACCTGCATGGTGGCCGTCTGGCACTCGCCTAAATGCCAAAGCGTATCCCGTGGTAAGAGAAGGCCTTCGCGGCCGAGGCGTCCGTCGCAGACGCGTTCCTGGAGGGACCGAAGTCCTTCGATGTTGTTAAGAGTCACGTCATGGCGTGGATGCCACGTACAAGATGAATCACCGTGGCTACCCGGTTATTGTCGTCGGTGTGTCTGATCGTGCACGAGTTTTTCATCTAGTGGCATTGTTTGTGGTTTCTCAAGAAACCCAGGAGGTATTCGAGGCTGTACTACTATCACTGCAGTGCGTATTCTACTTTATTACGCACAAGAATCTGGTAGTTCGATACGCGATGGCAGATGCAGACCAAGCCCAGTATAACGCACTTAACTCGGTGTTTGGCCAGACGCAGGGATTAACATTCCTTATGTGTTTTTTTCATGTCGTCAAAAACATATACAAGGCGATTAAGAGCTTTCCTCGGTTATATCGGCTGGATTAATACGTGGGGTGTACGATTTAAACTTCACGCGATCCGAGTTAGACTTTCAGCGCCTTCGGGAGCTTAGGAAATCCTTACACTGTTAGATTCGCGCAGTACAGGACGAACCAGTGGATGTACGGGCGGTTCTGGAGATGGCAACGCTTTTCCACACTGCCAGATTTTGCTGCTACGAGTAATCCGGTGGAGACTTTTAACGCGCGGCTGAAACGGGACTACACGCTCCGACGCCGGCTCAAGATGGGTACGCTCCTGCGAGAGCTATCAGCTTGCTGCCACGATGTTTTGTCGAGTATGCGTCCCTTCAGCTTCGAGATCGCGGTGGCGCAGTCCCTCACACGCAGAGTGTCCGAGATGATCAAAGAGTCCCTGATAGGTGTGTGGACCGGCGCCATTCCACCGCCTGCGTGTGCTGTACGCTCCAATACAGTTTACGTAGTATCTAACCTGGCTAAGAGAGTGACAGTTGTCCCACACAAGAGATCTGAAGCCGGTATTGCAGTGTCTGCGCAGATGGGCGCAAACTACGCTCGTATGGAGGTGCAAGGGCAGCCGTGGGGTGGATGGCCAGTAAATACCTTCACCGTACTGCGGTTCTGTAGTTCCACGAATGCAGCGTTTGGTTCACAGGCGTGGCCAATAAAACGCGTCATCGCACCAAACTTTAGTGCCTCCACGTAAACAAACCAGTTCTTCACGGACTTGGTGTTGTATAGCATTGTATACCCGCTGTTCTGCTTTCATTCTTGTATAGGCTGTTCTTCTCGTTGACGAATCTTTTCAAGCATATAACGCGTCGGTATGGTCTTCATATACTCATTGGCGTCCAGAATATCTTGATTCTAAGCAGTCTTAGCAGCAGCAGATGCAGTTAGTACTGGTGGCTGGGCTTTGGCTTGCTCAACGCCAATACCCCCGCATGGACGACCTTCTGCACACGCCACAGCACGAGATGGATCATTATCAGAGAGAGTCTGGTCAGGAATGACTGTGCTGGAGGCCGGAACAAATCGTGGCTCTACATCAGTCGCGATGCAACCTCCTGCAGTCTCGTCGGTGGAACCCTCGGGTGTATGCGCTTGGTCAGACAACTCTGCACTTGTTGCACCACTTTCTGTAGCTCTAGTGGGCAAAGTAGATGTACTGGACAGCAAAATAATGGATTCAGCTGGAATAATACCATTTTCTGCATCATCAGTTATGGGGCTCTCGATTGCGGTTTCCTCGCATGTGCGGCCTTCGTCGGTATCGCTGTCGCGTATACATCCACTCGGAGGTACTTGGCTCTGCGTACTAGATGCTCTGGACGTCGAAGTATCTGACTCCACCGCTGCCTGGTCATCGTTACACTCATCAGCGTGGGTGTTCGCCAAACCCTCAATTTCTAAGCGAAGCTGGCGGCACGTAGACTCAAATGCATCATTGACCGCATCTTGTAGTGCTGTCCTGAGCGTTCTGGACCGCGTGGGGGCGTCAAACGTCCCTGGTCGCAATGAGTAGGTCCTCAACGTGCGCCACAACGCGTAGCTCGGCTTGTACTTGTTGCCGGCCCGGTCCGACACCAGCCTGCACCACATGTCCAGTGGGAACGGCTCTCCGGTGTCCACAGTGACTGGGTAGTCGGGGTCGTCATCAGGGGCAACACGAAGAACGATTGTAGTCCGGTGCTCGCGCGAATCGAACAGCACAAATGCACGCGAGAAATACTCGATTGTATCACCAGCGGAAAGCGTCGCCGGGGGTAGCTGTGAGGCGCTAAGGCCTACCATGCCTGAAGCGGAGGTGCTGGAGGGTGCCGAGCGCTGCGACGTCGCGCCGTTGGTGCTGCGGTTTCCGGTTTGAAAAGATGAAATGGAGCTTTCATAAGTAGCTTTAAATAAGAGCTACTTTCACTTATAGCTACTTCGAGCTTCTGGCACTACTTTTGGGGCGTCATCGCCTAAGCAGATGCGACCTGCAGCACAAGCGCTGTGCATTTAAAAGGGCGGGATTTTGGACCGCGGCTCTGTCGTTTTGTGCTGGGGTTGTTGTGTTGATCAGATCCTATCGGGTGTATATAATGTTTTCTCTTCAGATAGTAGCAGAAACATAATCTTTTCTTTATTCTAGAAGAATTATTGTGTATAACTAAATATCCTCTGGACCAGTGGTACATGACTGCAGTAGTATTTTACAGTAATTCGTCAATAAGGAGCGCATGGGAACTAATATATTTGCAAGCAGTATACTCAAAGTGCCTGTGTACTTGTCAATTTGTTCTATATAAATAGAACAAATTGACAAGTACACAGGCACTTTGAGTATACTGTAAGGTGCGGCAATAAGGAGCTAATATTCTTGAAAAGTTTGTAGAGATCAAATTGAAAAAAATACTTTTTTATGTCACTTTGGTTATGCTAAGCTCCTTACTGACAGCGTCATGTACGGTGTCAGTGACACTGTACATGTATGACCAATGGTGAAGCAACTGCCCTACACACAGCTGTGTAATCCAGAGCTTATCCGTGACATACGGCTTTGTATCCGTCTACTGACGATCATCTCTGTATTGATAGCGTCGGGAGGCCACATTAAATAGATGAATCACTATAAGGAGATGTACCCGATGTTAAGTGCGCACGACCATCGTTAGCGTTCGTAACGCAAAGTGTCTTAATTTTTACCGGCTAGCGATGGCATTTATCTTTTTCCCGCCAAACAC